TACACCTCTTGACCTTTGACCTTTGACCCCCAGCTTCGACATCCCAACTCGTTTTCGGATTACCCCCCCACGTTCCGAATATCGTGACCGTACGTCGAGCGGTTAAGATTTGTGCCCAACTGTTGACGGACGCACGGACGGACGCACAGACGCACGGACGGACGCACGGACGATCATGCGATTCTACAAGCTGCATCTGACTATGTCAGATGAGCTAAAAAATATTGCTAAATAAACACAAAATGTATTTACTACCAAAGTATTAATGTTTCTCTACTCTCTTTCGCCTATTATTGCCAAAAATTTCCTGTAAATGCCGTTAAAATGCTCCTCTGCAACACACAAGTACACCGCACGCACGCCGCTGTGCACAAACGACAAGAAAATGGTTAACGAACTGACTTATTGACTTATTGAGAAAGTTTATCAAAATTAAAAACGCATACCTACATTTAATTTTAAATATTACTTGAAAAATTACAAGATATCAAAGAAAGTATGTAAATGTAAAATGTGTACGATTGGGGAGCAAATAGCACGTAGACTCATTATTAATGACATTAAATAAACTTCTTCGGCATTCCACAGGGTGCAAATTAAGACTAACAGTAGTCATTGATGGTGTAGAATATGATAGTATTATATTATTATACTTATTGCAAAAGAATATTACATCACCACAAATTATTCTTATTAGATGTACACATTGATTTATGAGAATTTTAAGACAGCAATAATAAGCAAACTGGGCGCTGCCATGGCACCGTGCGACTTGTGATGCCCCTGGTGAAGTTACGCTTTGGAATTTTTAGATGAGCAGACCACTATTAAATCCTCCATAGGATCCTATACTTAAGAATTGAATTTCAGGAGCTGAAAAATAGTATTTCGACCGTTTTCGGCCGAGTGGCAATATTAAAGCTAGGTAGCCATGTACTTCAGCTGTTCACCATTAGAATTATGTCATATGTTGTCCAGCGTTTAAAAAAAATATCGCGAATTTACTAACCGACACCACATTTGTGCCTGAAAAACAGTCGCGCAGTCGAATAGGGGCCATACATTAAAAGAATTCATTTTAAATTACCAGTAACCATCCTCCCATCTCCATGTGCATGTCATTGCCACACACGATAGCCAGCCTAAATAATGCAACCACAAAACATTGCGTTAGCTTTAGTGCACGAGCTGCGGGCCCTCCGATGCCGCGTCACATCCTCTAACCTAACAGGGTAATGAACCGGTAGTGAATTAATAGTGGTCACGTGTAAATTTGTGCAGAGCACAGCAAGAGGGCGCTGTCGACAAACCAACGCAGCAGGGCAACCGCCAGGAGGCGCCACTACCTACGAATGTGACGAACTGGTGGCGGATTAAAAAACAAAACAAAATAGAACCAAACGCGACCGGCAGAGAGAGTGCTAGAGCAGCTGGGAAAACTGTACGTGGGGCTGGTGTTGAATGACATCCACCACTACACCCACGTTCTCATTGGTAAGCAGGAGTAGAGAGAGTGGGATGGAGCGAGGGAGGGAGGAAGGAAGGAAGAAAGAGAGCGAGAGAGAGAGAGAGGAGGGGACAAAATTGTACGTGGGGCTGGTGTTGAATGACATCCACCACTACACTCGCGTTCTTACTGGTAAGCACGAGTAGACAGGAAGGGAGGGAGGAAGAGAGGGAGGGAGGGAGAGCGAGAGTGAAAGGGAGAGGAGGGGGAGAACTGTCAGAGGGGCTGGTGTTGAATGACACCCACCACTACACTCACGTTCTTACTGGTAAGCAGGAGTAGAGAGAAAGGAGGAGGGAGAGATAAGGGGCGGCAGGGAAGAGAGAGGAGGAAAGGAGAGAGAGCGAGAGAGAGTGGAGAACTGTTTGAGGGGCTTCCACTATTTTCTCTTGTATGAGAGTGAACGTCTCTCTCGTGAGTCTACTGGAGAGAGTGCATCTATATCCACAGGTTTAACTTCTGACGAATTAGCTGTTTAATCAGTAGAATGTCAGTCACATCACTCCTGATTGCATGCACATCGCCTTTCCGGATTTCTTCTCTCATACAAGCCTGAGTGTACGTCACTGGAGTCTACTGGAGAGAGTGCACCTTTATCCACACGTTTAACGTCTGACGAATTAGCTGTTTAACCCGCAGACCCGTCCATCACATCATTCCAGATTGCTTGTACATGGCCTTTCTTCGGTGCGACTGCGTGCGCATGTGTTTCGAGAGAGCGGCCGAGGATAAGCCCCTGAAAGAGCAGATGTCGCACGCGTACGGTTTCTCGCCCGTGTGCGTGAGAAAGTGCTTCTTGAGGCTGCTGGAGGTGGTGTAGGCGGAGCCGCATATATCGCACGCGTACGGTTTCTCTCCCGTGTGCGTGCGCGCGTGGATCTGGAGATGCGTCAGCTGCAAACACCTGTACTCACATATATCGCACGCGTACGGTTTCTCTCCCGTGTGCGTGCGAATGTGCACCTGCAACCGCTGATTCTGGGAGCATCGGTACCCGCACGTGTCACACACGTACGGTTTCAGAGAAGAAGAAGAAGCAGAAGCAAGAGAAGGTTCCATCGAGCGGGCGGTGATCGAGAGATCTATTTCTCCCCGATGCAGGTTCCTCTCTCACTTTCCTCCTCG